AAATTTGATTTACAAAGTTTGCCATATTTGCCGCAAGAAAGGTAAAAAACACATTCACAAAGACGTCTTGTAACGTCTGTCTCCACCGATTCTAATGTGGATGGTGCAGATATGGGGGGGTTGCCAATCTGAGCCCTCTGGGTTCATCTGGACAAAGGCTCCTCCTTCAGTTTTCAGGCCATACATGCTGTTTCTTCTGGCATTCGTTTTGTAAAACCTTCTGAAGCTGAAATCACATTTTAACCGTTCTATACCCTTTAAACAGTGTTTGAGCATGTAAAATATTATTTGCATATTATTTGAGTATTTCAAATGTTAACATTTCTTTGCTTCCGCAGTTTTGATGTTGTTCTGTTTTGGTGGAAGTTGTTATCAGGAGCCGCAAGCAGCACGCCTGCTTCATAAACCGGGGGACTGAAAGCGTAGTGCTTGCATGCGTACACCAGAATATGATTGTGGAATGCCTTGTGGCATTCCTCCAGAGGATCACCTGCTGTGTTCTCACTTTGACTCCTCCGGACTTTCTGCTGGTTTTATACTAGGGGGCCAAGCAGAGAAAGTCCGCAGAAACTGCTTAGGCTCTCACTCTGACGTTTGTGTTAACATATACTCCTCATCCTGAGTACGCAGCAGAAAGGCATATTCAGAAAAAAAATACTTTTTAAAGAATAGAGAGAATGCTAAATGATATGCTACATTAAGAAATACTACTTACAGGCTGTCATGTCAAGATCATTGAAAACATCCTCCTCCATGTCCTCCTCTACAATGCTCATGTAGTGTAAGCTGTGGAAACAAACATAATATTTTAATACCATAGCTTTTCCAACTTTGTGTTACAAAGATATATTTATACGATGGTTAATTTCATGTGAAATAACATATTTTTATGTACAAAAAGATCATATTTTATTGGGGCAAGACTCATCATCTCTGTAAAGTATAACCAGAGACTGCTTTATAAATCACATCACTCTATAAAGAGACAACAGTATACAAAAAGAAAGAAAGAAACTCTTTGTTGGTAAGAGAACATATTAGAAAACCAACAGCACAATTGTTCAATACAATGACATCCATTGAAATACCACTGCTCAATAAAGCTGGATTTGAAAAAGGTTTTGGAATTGCTGAGCAGGGCCTGTCTCAGAGCTGGAAGAGAACAGTAAGAAAATAAATGCTTCGTGCCAGTTATCTACTGTAATACATCCTGAAGTTGTGGGATGGTGGCTTGCAGAGACAAACATGCCCAGATAAAACTAGGATTGCTCAACCACAACTATTTATGCCCAACATAATAGGATATGTGTGCTATTCCTGCCCAAGGTCAGGAATAGCCTACCATCCCTAGCAGTAAGCTAAATCACCTGTCCAGCAGAAAACATCTAAGACAATACGAATGCTTATTTTCAGTTTCTTGCTTCATTTTCCTTTTATAGATCAATCATTCAAATTCTATTTGCAGTAAATGTGCTGGACAGAAGGTGTAAACTGAAAACAGGTTTTTTAAAAGCTTGAAAGTGAAAATTTGGCTAAATAAACACTTTATGTTAATCTTGTTCAGTAGCTATAAGCTCAGTAGGTAGAGTGCTATGACCTGTTAGATGCTAGTGTGAAACAAAATTAAAACTAACTGCACATGTTCAGATATCTCCCACCTGTCAGGTTAAAGGTTAGTGTTTATGTTTTGCAATATATTGTTGTCATAGTGACAGAATTAGCTTTGAGGTCCTGTAAGGGATAGGGGGCAGCTGTGTGTGTGTGTTTGTGTGTGTGAGTGTCTGCGTGCTATTTCTGCAGAGCTCAGTTGTATGTAGAGGATCTATTTTTGTGATGTCACCCTTTCTCTCCCTCACATATAGACTTCTTTCACTCAGGCGAACAATGACTTTCAATGACAATGACAGCCAGTTCATCATTCGGCCTTCTCTATTTAAATGTCTCACATGATTGGCATTACCACATATCCGCAGCCATTTCCTGCCTATTTTAATGGGCAACATACTTGGAAAAACAAAATAGTGACATTGAGTAAAATTGGACTAGATGTCTGATGAAAATCCAGTTGCATTTTAAGAACTTTTATCGAGGCATTTTGTTTTTTAAACAATATTATCCCTTGTTCTGCTTATTTGTTGTACAAGTCTTACCACTGTATGGAAATACTATAAGTCAATGGAGACGTTTACAGCTTCTCCAATGTGAGAGTTGCTGCTTTGCTCTGGTTCATTTGATTGTACGCTGGAAGTTTCGGTTTTGGCTGTCTAAAATGATGCCAGATCATGAACAGACGAATCAATCAAAGACCAATCAATTGAAAAGCCATTGGTACTTGTATTAACTTGTTCTTAAAAGTAAAAACTTGATAATTGTTCATTTTAACAATGTAGAACATATTGAATATTAAAAACTAGCATCTCAAGTACATTTCTAGTTTTCCAAATCATTTAATCCTATACTCCTCTATACACTTCTATGCAAAGTCTATCAGTTTGCGTGCAACAGAGGGAGGCAACTCAATTGGCATTATTTTAAATCAACAAGTAGCAATGAGCACATTTCAGCCTTGAGAAAACTGAACAATGTCACTTCATTTAGTTCAATTCTGTTATAAACTGCTTAAAACCAAACTAATCATACAATTATTTCATAATGTCAATGAATATAGCTTTTCATTCGTCTATCCTTCATAAGAGAAGGTTACTGATGGTATGTGTACTGGAAGGAGCCATGCCATTAGTGGGTTTAATCAGGACTACCCTAAGAGATCTTCAGTTAATATTTAAATAATATAATTCAGTCCACATACATTAACTTGGCTCATGTCAAGTTTTGTAGAAATTCACAAATAAAGGAGCTTCACCTTCAGATTTCTTTTGGCATCATCATTTACTTTTACAATATATAGTTTGGTATTTAACAGAGATTTTTAAATCACAAAGAAATAACTATTTGTAATTATTTCCCGGTGTGAACACTGCCAAAATCAACACATGAGTATACCAAATGAAATAAGTCCTGACAGGCAACAATTTATGGGGCATGGCATGTCATCGCAGGAGAAGACAATGTTGCATTAAAGGCTGTGTTTGTATTAGATGAATGCTCTCAGAGCTCAATCATGAAATTAGACCTTATATTACACCCACGAGCTCAAGCCATGGCTTAAGCTAGGGTAACTGTGTTTGCTATAACCAATGTCTGGAAATTTTCCACTATCTGACATTCTATATCAAGGCATACTGGATCAACTGGCGTGATCGGGTGTGGACGATTAGAGCCGATTAGTAGGGTTGGGTGGACGAGCTGAAATGGGACATACCACTCTAAAGGGGGGAACGTTGAATCGTCCAAGTGGCGCTGGCCTTTTCAACACATTTCTTTTTCTTCTCTCCATTCCTCTGGCAAGACACTGAACCCCAATTTGCCCTTGACAGCGTGTGCGTGATGTGGGATACTGAAAGTGCTGGACATAGATGCATGTATGAAAAACTACTATAAAGTGCATTCAATCAACATAAGAGAATGGTTTTATGAATACAGACCATTTACCATAAGCAGGAGCAGTAAAATGTATGTGTTAGATTATTTTTTGACATGAAATCTTCATCCTTGCTGTAGAGCAGAATGACTATGTCAGACTGCTGTTGTCTTGGTGTAGTGCTGAATATTTAATACGTTTATCATGGGATCTCACAGCCCGTCTGTGCTCTTTGTCTTCATTTACTGTAGGCTTTCGACTGATGAGCTATGTAGATATCCTGACAAACAATCTTTAAAAAGCTGATAATTCAGTACACCATTTAAATTGAACCAATTTTCCATGTGTTGCCAATTGCCTGATGGGCTTCACTTCAAGCTGAAATAGTATTCGCATGAGACATCCATTTATTATTTATCGGCCATTTGTTCTTTTCAAGTGACATTCAACCTGGTCTAAAACACATTTGTCCTATTATATATATATACATATATATGTCACTAAAATAGATTCCAATTATATTAAGTCATCAATGATTTTTTACATTTAATTTTGAGTTCTTACTTGAAATCTCATATTCAAAAAATTAAAAGAATTATAAAAGAATTAATTTTGTCACAAAATCAAAAGTTCTACTTGCTAGCTTTTTTGAAAGTTTCTAACCTTACCTCATGGTCTTCATCAGCAAATGTAGTAAGCACAATTGACATCACAGGCCTCAGCACTTGTAGGACATTTCTAGGACACTTTGTTTAAAGACATGTGAACCCCTACCAGGGTCTCCAGTGTTTTAGAGGTTCCCTGGCCCATATACTCCTGAGGATGCTTATTTTGAACATTTTAAGAATGATTCACACATCTTGGATGGAACCTTTTTGAATAACCTCAAAGTTTCAAGATTTGCTTTGGAATATGAATGTTTTTCAATGGGTTTTAGGATATATGTAACAAGTATTACACATATTACAACAAAAAAATTATTTTGGTTGGATTTGTCTGTCTGAACACATTGAATCTACACTGGTGACACTTCCAGACTTCCTCTGTGCCCTCATACTGTTACTCATCTGATTTATCCCTACCTCTTTCAGTCTGTTCTCTATCACTCTCTTATCTATAATCACATTATCTCTTCTCTCCCCCCCCCTCTCTATCTTTCTGTCTGTAGATCTAAGGGGAAGCAGAGCAGACCCTGCCCTCCTTGACTGGAGAGGAAAACATTACTACTGCTCCAGCCACAGAAACCGTGTTTTCCTCCATCATGCAGGCCTTTGCTCTTCTCCTCATAGCCCCAATCTTCCTCCTGTCTCTCCTCATCCCAGCCTGCTCCACCCAAAGCGAGGCTGACCTCATCGTCCAGACACGTATCGGTCGAGTCCGTGGAATCCGCATGCCGGTGCCGGACCGAAGCTTTGTCACTGCTTTCCTGGGCATTCCCTTTGCAGAGCCACCAGTAGGAAAGCGCCGTTTCCGTCGTGCTGAACCAAAACGTCCATGGACAGGGGTGCACGAGGCCAATGCTTACCCCAATGCGTGCTACCAGTTTGTGGATACATCATTCCCTGGCTTCCAGGGCACTGAAATGTGGAACCCCAACAGAGAGATGAGCGAGGACTGTCTGTATCTCAATATCTGGGTGCCTTCCTCACCCAGACCACACAATCTTACAGTAATGGTGTGGATCTACGGAGGAGGTATGTGATCATAACTTTCAGATTCAGGGTCTTTTTACTCAGACTCATTCTTCCAGTGTGGCTATTTGAAATTCAAATAAGCCATTGGCCCATTACCTGTTTAAATTGTTCAATCTCTTCGGATTTTAACCCAGAATCATATCACCATATATATTATATAATATAAAATGAAGAACACGGCGGTCTTCTCTCACCACTGTCCCAGCACTGCAGTGGTCATATGAAGGTATTATTTGTGCAAGAAAACTGAGCACCTGTGACAATTGGAATTGTAGTTGAAATTAATATGTAGTTTTTGAATAGTCAAATATGAAAGTACCACTTAAGTCCCTTTTGTGTTGAAAATGGTTTACATTTATTGTGCAGGTTTTTGCTACTCATTATTCATAGTACACTATATATATATATCTTTTTTATTCCTAAATCAACATTTAATCTACAATGTACAAATCCTTATTTTAAAATAGTCCCAATATATCCATTGTATTTATGATGGACAGAACAGGCAAGTTTTTCTGTTCTTCTTGAGGGTTGGGCAACATTTACTATGTATTTTTCAACTCTATTTCTGACAACTTTCTGGGTCGAATTTAACCAATAGCACCACAGAAGTAACTTTCTGATCATCTGCTTCATTATATTCATTTGCCCTTGATGAGTATGTAATTTCATCAGACCAAAATCAATGATATGCTTCGCACACATCTAGATTTCAAAAGCAAGTCAAATTTCACTGCTCAGAACAGGAGAGTTAATCTTATAACAGGACGTTCCTGATGCTCTGAAGCTCTTAAAAACAGTTTTATTCGATTATTAAAACCCTAGTGACCTTTTTTTAAGACCAAAAGTTCTGTGCATTGTTGAGCATATGATAAAATGAACCACTTTACTCTGATATTTAACATTTCCAGGGTTCTACAGTGGCTCTTCTTCACTGGACGTGTATGATGGTCGTTACCTAGCTCACAGTGAGACAGTCATTGTGGTCTCCATGAACTACCGAATTGGAGCCTTTGGCTTCCTAGCCCTGCATGGTTCATCTGAGGCTCCTGGCAATGTGGGTCTGCTGGACCAAAGAATGGCACTGCAGTGGGTACAAGACAACATCCATTTTTTTGGTGGAAACCCAAAACAGGTGAGTTTTAGACTCTTATATAATGCCTTGGAGCCAGCAACAGCTGTAGCCAGAGGCTTTATGCTTTCCGGTTTTCCGTCCATATGACCATCTGTCAGTCCCATTCTTTCAAATCTACTAGCTCTCAAACATAGTGAAGGAATTTCTTCAACTTTTGCAACTTTGCAACTTTTTCAAGCCGACTTATGAAGTGATTCATGAACTGATTACATTTGGGATGGTCACAGTTCACTTTGATCTCAAAACACATTTGTTGCCTTGTCTTATCGTGTCAGAGTTGTACAAATGGAAGGCCACTCTCAACTGTATCTATCCTAGCTCTTTCTCTTTCTAATGAAGCAAGTAACTGATCCTGTTCTCTCTATTTGCACTCTTGTTTCCTGTTGAACAGGTTACTATATTTGGAGAAAGTGCTGGTGGTGCTTCAGTAGGATTCCACCTCCTGTCTCCAGACAGCCGGTCTACCTTCACCCGCGCCATCCTTCAGAGCGGGGTCCCCAACTGCCCCTGGGCCTCAGTCACTCCTGCTGAAGCCCGCAGACGGGCCACACTGCTGGCGAAATTGGTTGGCTGTAACGGAGGCAATGACACGGAGTTGGTGGACTGCATGCGGGGTAAATCTCCACAGGAACTCATCGACCAGGAGTGGCAGGTAATGGTGATGTCAGTAACATGTCAGCTACATTTGCTTAGACTATTTTAGGAAATTCATTTAAAATTAAATAAATAATGGGAACAGGTTGTTGGGTCTTAAAACCAAGTTTAAGGTCTTTTTACACAGGGAGTGTCTGTTTTTTTTAATTTAAATAATTTCAAACAATATGTTTTTTATGCCTCCACTGTGGCAAGAGCCAGTGGCAATAGGCATTACATTTTCAAATTGTCTGTCAGTTCGTACGTCCCATTGTAGCAAATGCGATATTTTAAGAATGCCCTGAGACAATTTCTTCAAATTTGGTACAAACATTTATTTGGACTCAAGGAAGAACTTATTTCTTTGGTCAAAGGTCAAGGTCACTGTGACCCCACGAAGCAAATTATTTGCCTTGTGAACACGATAGCTTGAGAACACCATGAAGGACTCCTTTCACATTTCAGGAAGGAATTTAATTACATCTGGAACAGTCATTCACTTGGATTGATGGATGACCTATAAAGTCAAAGGTAAAGGTCAGTGTGACCTCACAAAGCACATTCTTTGCCTTGTGAACGTAATATCTCTGAAATGCCTGAAGTGAATTCTTTCACATTTGACACAAACATTCACTTAGACTTGGATTTGGGTAAATAAATGTCAAAGGTCAAGGTGACCTCCCACCCCACATTTCTTGAATGTGATGTCTTAAGATCAGCTTGAAAGGATATATTAAAATTTGGTTGACAACATTCACTTGAACTCAAATATGAACTTATTAGATTTCATTGCCTGACGGTCAAACATCAAGATGACTAAATGTTTTTGTAAATAAGATCAGGACTGCCTGATATAAGTGTACAGCAGGGGGCCCCTGCTGGATTCACCGTGAGCGAGTGAGGGGGGTTGATGAAGCCTGGACACGCGACAGAAAAAAGTTGATATAAATATATATAGATGAAATAGTGGTGTCATACACATAGAAGACAGTGACGAAGATGCCTAGAGAGTTTATAGTGATCTGATGCCTTGTCGATATGCCGCAAATGAAATCTTAATAATTACTTCCTGCCTCTGCCTGCTGCACCACCCCTCATGAAAGTGTCTGTGCAGAGAACCCCCTGCTGCATTGTGTGTAAAGTCAATCAGCAAGAAAAGTCAGAACCCAATGTAACGTTTGATGGTGTCAAACTCTGTACTAAGATAACAAGACAGAGACAAACAAAGCAATAAGAGGGTCTTTTGTGACTGTGTACCATACTGTGATGAGCTGAAAATCTTCATATTCACTATTGATCTGGAGAAAGTCACACTGCACACGACAACAAAAGAAAAGAAGGTTAGATATAGCTCTGTAGTTGGCGAAACCATCCAGGTCAAGAGAGTTTCTTTCAAGAAGTGGAAGAGAATTATGACTAGCTTAAAAGATTGTGGTACATAGTCTTATAATAATGATCAAATTACTGTTTTCTGAAAAGTACTGTTTATTAAGGGCAGAATTTCTTCTAAAAGACAAGCTGCTAATTTAGAAGAGGAGATAATTGATGTTAGCTGATGCTGTCTAGATGTATGTCAGGATTTTCAGCTGCCTCTGAGATTTCTGTGCTTGATTCGTTAATATCAATTAAGGGCAGTTGAGGATTTCAAGTAAGAAAGTATTTGTTTTATATCATTGTTCAGAGTAGATCAATAGTTGGATTTCTGTATGTGACATACTTGTTTGAGAATTTGACCTACAACTCATGTGCCTCCTTAAAGGTGCATGCCTAATAGCCAATAGCACCAAACTATTTTTGTTTTCCTTGCAGATTTATAAATAAGCAGCCATAGATCTGAGCACATGGGTGTTGTAAATGCCTATTACAGCTAGTTCATATTATGGCTGAAGTTGCCACTTCATAGGGAACTTTGCTCCCTATAAACAAAACCAAATAGCAGATACTGTACTTTTTGGGACCACAAGAAGCAGGTTGACATTAATTGAAATCAATAATAATCATAGTCAGTAGTCATGTTGACACACACACATGCATGTCTCTCTGTAGTTCATTGACATAATGCATTCCCAACTACTTACCCTAACGTTAACCATCAGAACTAAATGCCTAACCTCAATTCTAACTCTAAGCCTTAAACCAAGTCTTAACCTTCAAACAGCCTATTGAATTCATGAGGACCAGCCAAAATGTGCTCACAATGATGTAATAAGCCGAAATTGTCCCTCATACCAGCGGGTATCTCATAGTGCAGGATCGGGTCATTCTTGCCTCCTCTGGGTAGGCCCATATCCTCAAACGATCATGCTTTTCCTCACTAACTTTGCTGCTGTCAGCGTTAGCTACAAGCAGGTGTAGCTTTAGATGGTTATAGTACTTAGTTTAGTCAAGCATCTGAATTGCACTGCCGTGGAATTACAGTTACTCATGACAACTGTGACTCGTCAACTTCTTGTCAACAACAGCGCCTCCAGTTGCAAATCTGCTGTAGATGCTTTGCTTCATTGTCCTAAAACCACAAATGAACGACTTGTCTACAACGATGCACAGGGTCGACAAGTGGTTTTGATTGTCAACTAGTGGAATAATCAAGTGAAGCCCCTAGAAACTACCTTTTAGGTCATAACATTTGGTCTGCTGTGTGGTTGCACATCATGTCACAGTCACCCTGATCAACTCAATGGTACATTTGGGTTTGTCCTTCTCTTCTAAACAGGTTTTGCCATGGTCAGCCCTCTTCCGGTTTTCATTTGTACCCGTTGTGGATGGGGAGGTTCTGCCTGACACTCCTGAGGCCATGCTCAGCTCAGGCAACTTTAAAGACACTCAAATCCTCCTTGGGGTCAACCAGGACGAGGGCTCCTACTTCCTGCTGTACGGAGCACCGGGCTTCAGCAAGGACAATGAGAGCCTCATCTCAAGAGAGGACTTCCTGGAAGGTGAGGCTCAAGTCAATCAGCTAGATATAACGGATATGAATTTTAAAAATATGTAATTACATAAGTAATTCATAACTCATTTAAAAAGGGGAATAGATATGGTCCTGCTTTTAATTGCTCATATGATTGCATAAAGATTTCTCCATGATCATTGTGCTGATGTGACTAATCAGAGATAATTAAATAAATCACAACCACAGATATGTCTAATAAAAAAAAAAGAAAAAAATGCACATATCACCTTTAAACTTCATTCTGCCAGGTGTCAAGCTCAGCGTACCACATGCTAATGATATTGGCCTGGAGGCAGTAGTGCTACAGTATACCGACTGGATGGATGAGAATAATGGGTTCAAGAATCGTGAAGCCATGGACGACATCGTGGGCGACCACAACGTCATCTGCCCACTGGCCCACTTTGCCCGCTCCTATGCCCAGCACAATGCCCTTAAGGCTAACATGGGAGCAACTGGATCCGGGGTGGTGAACAGTGGAGCAAACCTACAAGGTAAGATACAGTATATGATTATTATGAGCTGTCACCAGTAGAGAAATTGTGAATCCTGCAAGCAACTTCTAGTATAGTTCCCTTGGCGCTGTGCTCACAATCAGCTGATCCACCGGTATTAATTTTAACATTTAAATCAAAACCTATGGCTGGTGGGCTTACTGGGGGACCAAAAATTTACCTCATCAACTGAATTTGCATCAACTCTCCTCCAGAAGGTATTCAAATAGAGGAGAAGCTTTGTGACATCTGAGGAGCCCACTTTGATTTCCATTTCTCTGCAAAACAAAGTTGCTCATTCTCCAACCCACAGCTGGCTTGTAGATAGTCCAGAGACCTGGTTACACCATGATCAGGGTGGTGTATGGGAGGGAGGGAGCTGTTTTTCTGTGTGATCATTTCGGTTATTGCATGTTGGCTTTCTTTGCAGTACGACTCTATCTTGCACTGATGGTGTCATGGTTAATTTCACTCTCAAACTCAAATTTGTGACATTTTTTAGCTTGAATTTCAGGGGTGTAGAAGACAAACTCAACAGTACGATACCATTTGAATAGTATGGGAGCACAGATTTGTGTTGCTGCAGGGATCTGAATGTTTAAAGACCATACAGGAATCCATAGACACTGGGTCTCTCAATCCTACCACTCACTATTTAACTGCAAAGCACCATGTGTTGCTATTTTAATCCTTCTCTTCATTCCGTTTGTTTCCTCTACCATAACAGCAAACCGCAATGGATGCTAAATCGTGACAGGGGCTTAGTACAACACCCCCCTAATTCTGACAACAATCAGTTATTTGTTACCTTTTTTTCCTATTTACCTTATTTTGACTCACACCGCCTAACTGCTGCCTCCAAAACATATACCCATCTTCTAATGAAACAACAGAAATTGTAGGTGCACAGCTCCTACAATTTCCACACTTTTGTTACCCTTGGGTCCCCCATCCAGAGAAGTATCATCAACACAAGCTAACATATAACTTAAAATAGTAATACAATATGTACTAAATGCACGTTTGCTAATTATAAATATGTATCTATATATATTTATACACTAATATCAGATGTTTATTCATGATACAGAATGCTTGATTACGTAAAAACGTTTTTTATAAAATGTAAGATTTACTTAAGAGTTAGGTTCTAAGTGCATCGCATTATTTCTTACTGCATGTAAAATGGCTGCCGTGGTACATTTTCTGTTTAATTTTGGAGATAAATTAAGTCTCGAATGCAAGTTTGAGAAAGTAATGAAGTGCTTATGTAAATGTCATTAGGCAAAGGCAGCTCAGAGAGGAGTTATGATGTGATCCATATGATCCATATTTAGACTCGTAGAAAGTAAAGACATTAGTCTTGTTGTGTTGAACTGTGAAACCTTATTACTATTCTAGGAGACAGACTGTCCAGGGTCATATAGAGTGGTGGTAGGGTCAGTTCCAGGGAGAGAGACAGTTGTCGGGGGCCCAGCACAACAATGCGGACCCCCACAGTGGATAGCAAAGATCACGAGGACTCTTCACCTATGTGTGTGCGTGTGTGTTCTGTTGGGTTACATGCCATGCTTATTTACCACTGGACAGAGAACATTTATTTCAGTTTCTTGTATTTCACAATCTTGCTCATGTGATCACTACCCTGAGCGTAGATTGACTGGTATATCAAAAGCTTTGCCTTGCGGCTCAGCTCCCTCTTCACCACGTTAGTGCTGACGCCGCATTGACCTGCCTGTCCATATTGTGCCCCATCTTCCCCTCACTTCTGAACAAGACTCAGAGATACTTAAACTATTTCACGTGGGGCCCCAAAACCACCCCAGTGTGCGCTGGAGTCCATGGTCTGAAAAAGCCAACAACCTTGGCAGAGTCCAACACCCACTGGGAACATATGTGACACAATTACAATTTTTCAGTTTTTAAGTTCATAAAATAAAAGTGCATTACTATTTTTAATGTGCTTTTGCTGCTGGTAATTGTATTTTCTTAATTTATACATTTATGGCATGAACAGAGGCACTTTTATTATTTCTACAGTGATTTCACATTACTGTAAACTTAAACACTAATCTTTTTCTCTACCTGCTCCTCAAGGAGGGGTGTACCTCTATCTTTTCGACCACAGAGCATCCAACCTTGTCTGGCCTGAGTGGATGGGTGTGATCCATGGCTATGAAATTGAATTTGTCTTTGGCCTACCACTAGAGAAGAGGCTCAACTATACTCTAGAGGAGGAGAAACTGAGCCGACGCATGATGAGATACTGGGCCAACTTTGCACGCACTGGGTGAGACAGATTTGTTCTTCTGAGTTGTCACAGCAGCAACCCAAGTCAGACAATTGTATTTTTTTCTCAAAGTTTCCTGGGCTAAAGGAATATGTACCTCCACCTTTACCTAACTTTAACAGGACAGACAGATAGATGTTACAGAGGTAAAAGGCCAGTCAGATATATGCGGATACCATATCATCCTTTGTGTTCATTTGGTTTAAATTAGCAAATAGGGAACACATAATAGGACTTTTTAGGTTCAAGGTTCAGAGGCGTTTTTGTCATATGCAGAAATATACAACTTATCAATGCAGTGAAATTCATAGTTCTCTCTGCCTGGTGCCGTCAGTTATTA